TCACCAGACATCCCTGGGAACCAAGTTCTTGGACTTCACCTGCATATAAAGTGACCTTCCCCTTCTGCCCAGACTCTGGTTACTAAAAGGGACATTCTTAAATAAAATAGTATCTTTCCTCCTCTTTCTGGTGGGGCTTATGCAGATTCTTCAGTCTGGAAGCAAGCATGACTCCAGTCCCTCTGTCTCAAGACTCAGAGGCAATAACTCATTTGGTTAGATGTGGTGCTAAAAATGCCAAGGTCACAGCTTTGATCTCTGTATAGGACACACAACTTGTCCTGACTCAAGCAGGGAGTTGAACTAGATGACCTCTTGAGGTCCTTCCAGCCCTACTTCTCTATGATATCTGCCATAAGTTGCCTCAAACACCCTTTCATTAAGGGTTTGAAAGAAGTAGCTGGCTCAGGGAGACACCTCTTAAGGCAGCCTGCCTCTCCTGGAAGCCCCTTCAGCAGTACTCACTAATGCAGCCTTTCCCTCCTTTCTCCATATACTGTTTCCTGCTGGTTTCTGGAGGAAGCTATTTTGTTCCAGCTAGTTCTGACTCCGGCTAATTAACTTGCATCCTAGCACTCCGCCCGAACTTAGCATCTGTGTCTTCTTAGCATCTGTAGCTCTGTACCTCTGCTAGGTGTCATACTTCATTTCAGGATTGCAAGTCCTGATATTTCATAGCCAGTGGTGAGATTTATGGGCTGGAGCAGATAAAAATATCTGCAAAAACTAAAGTCAGATACTGAAGTTGAGTTTACAAGGTTTGAAATGGACCCTTCTAAATTTTTTTAAGTAGGCATTGGCATTGAAAATGTTGTCAAAGTCCTGATTTAAATGTTACATTTGCCACCAACCGGATGTTGGATCAATAAAAAAAAAAAAGGCTTCCATGAGATTGAAAATGCTGCAAAAATTTAGCAAGTTAAAAAAGTCAACATTATTATTACGTATTTTTGGGAGGGAGCTGGGTGAAGAAGCTGAAAGTCATGTTGTGACTAAACATGTTCTTGCTTGAAACCAGGTGGCCCACTGAAAAACCACTGCCAGTGCTTGGTGACAGATATGTTTCCTGGCAACCTGTATATGGTAATAGCAGCTGGTATCAGTCAGAGATGGATGAAGCTGTGCTGTCCTTTTGAGGCAGGTTCTAGGTCCAGCACCACCTGGATGCTGCTTTTAGTCTACAATTAAGTGTTTACCAGGGGCAAGGGAACTTTAGGACTTGTAGCCAGGATAATGGGGGTCAGGGAGGCCCCAGTGATTTTGAGGGATTATCAAAGCAGGTGCTTTACAGTAGAAGCCAGACACTTCACAGATCACATCCCTAACCTCGCTGCATAGAGGATGGTTCAGAGCTAGAGCAAAAAGTTGCATGGGCCTATTGATGTGCTCCGGCTGTGCAGAGAAGTGGTGCCCCTTGAGTAAGAGCAGCAGCAATCAGCTGAGCAGCATATCCTTTACTGGACAACCTGCTGCCATCTAAGCAAGTTGTAAGCCACCTGGATATGAATGGTCCAGGTTCTACTGTATTACTACTGGAAGAAGAAGGGGGCCAACAAAGAGCCCTGAGGGAGAGCTGTTTGCCCCAGGGAGAATGGCTTTGAGAAAATATTTACCTTTATTTGGACTTCTGCTCACTGGGATTTTCATCTGGACTTGGGGTTTTGCTACTGTTAAAAGATTAGAAGCTTTGAGTCATGACATGCTACAAAATAATAATTGGCGGGTTTTTCCTTTTTGCCTGTTGGCTTCATGGACTTTAGGGGTCACTTGCATCATATGGTTAAGTTTTCCTCAGCCATCTTGAGGTTTAGAAACTTGCAACAATGAAAAATGAGATTCCTCATCATTCAATTTCTGCAGGTGGAGCTGTAAGAAAAATGACCAAGTGTTGTGAGATACATGGGGCATGTCTACACATTGCTGTACAGAAACGTTGTTACGGTGTAGTAACTGCCTGCACAGCGCCATGTGTGCAGCTCATACATTTCACTGCTACATCCACATAGTGGCAATCTAAAACAGGGGAGTGTACCGCTACAGCAATGTAGCTACCGGTCAGATGTAGACCCACGATTACTACCTTGCGGTAGTGTGTTATATGGTGACATTTTTGCCGATGGTGCAATTTTAAGGTTTGGTAACAGCACGTCAGCTTCTCAACTGGTGACAATTCCTGGTGGGCAATGATGCTTGACAACTCTTGTCCACTGAAGACAGCAGGTAGCAAGTGGTCAACTTGTGCATCCGTGTTACTTGATTGCACATAGGAAATTTTCACCAACTGCCTGCTGTTTGAGGAGGGACATTTTGTGCCCAAAAGCCTATCTAATCTCTCTCCCAACTCTAGAGATGGTTTACAAATAGACATCACCATACAAATCTTGCTTCTGCCATTCAATGAGCCTGCAAGAAAATGGTGAATACTTAGTGAAACATTGTGATGTGGAGGCCTTTGACACCTGTGTACACCATGATAGCAGAGAACTTAGCTTGGCTGAAGGGGCAATAACGCTGCCCACCCACTCCCACATTACAGGCATCAACTCAGAAGCAAAGTGGTGCCCTAAGTGGCTCTTCTTGAGCATGCTGAAAATCTAGTTCTTGAGCATGGCACTGGGATATCCGAGGTCCTCAGCACCTCCATGCTGGGGTAATGCAGATGGAGTGGGTGGGTGAGACCAATCATCCTCCTGCTGCAGGGTAGATGTGCCCCAGGAGAAGATGGAAGGCTGTCAGTTACCTGTGAGGCACTGCCATGGCTGGCGATGGTGGGTGGAAGCATGTCACAGTCAGGCACTGATAATTTGGGAGCCACTGGTGGGTGGTGACAGGAACTGTTTCCTAGCAACAGGTACCAGGGGAAGGCTGGTGGCTAGGGCCAGTGACATGAATCTCACTGTTACCACCACAGTCCTCAACATCTTGCCCTCACAGTGGGAAATGGGGAAGGACTATTACCCCGTTGTGCATGTCAGACTGGGGGATTTTTCACCAGTGGACCTCCATGCCCTTCAAGGCAGTGCAGCAGCACTGTGCCCCTTGGAGAGATGGGTAAAGGGAGAGACAGGATAGATGAGGCTCAGGGCAGTGAACCTGCTGGCTCAAGATCACTCACTGTCCTCAGCCCTAGTTTCGCCTGACATCCCAGGAGAAGAGTGGGCCAACTCTGTGTGCTTGCTGGCCAGCTGCCTCAGGAGAGCTAGCCCCCTGTCTGGGGACATGGCCTTTGCTGAGACTGGACTCCCAGGCTCCCTGCCCCGAGCTGCTGCCCCTGCAGCTGGGAGCTGCTTTGGGTGGGCTTAGTGCTGGGCCCATGAGAATTGAATGCTGTCAGCATTGCCAGGTCTTAAACATGAAATTATAGTATTGGAAGCTCAAATTTATTGTATTTGCTGAAAAACTACTGCAGACTGAAAAAATAACTGCAAATGAGTCTTTTTCTTATTTACTTTATATTGCTCACTAGAAACCAGCAGTGAGTGAGAGAGAACTGGGTCATCCAAGTGGAAGTATTTCTTTATTTTGAGGCAAACCTTCATAAGAAAGTGCTGACAGCAAACCCAAGTCAGCTGACTCCCTGAAAGTGATGTGATTTTTGCATAAGCTGCATCAACGAGGTGCCTCAAAAACTATTCTGCACTTTGAACACGTTTAGCGTTGGTGCTTACAGGGGTGTAGGTAGTAGCCCTGTTGGTCTAAGCCAGGGACGGGCAATTATTTTGGGCAGAGGGCCGCTTACTGAGTTTTGGCAAGCCATCGAGGGCCACATGACAGGCAGCCCAGGGCAGATTAATATTAATTTTATAAAAATTTTAGGGGCCCTGGACGTTGGACAGAGTGGCTTGGCAGGCTGCATTTTGCCCCCCAAGGGCATAGGTAGACAAGGTTCATTATTGCTTAGGCATTATTAATCAATCAATTAATTAATACCATCAATCAATTAAACATAATTAATCTTATTAATACTATCAATCAATCGATGTATTAATATTGTTAATCAATTAACATAAATAGCATTATTACTATCAGTCAAATTATTAATCAAATCATTCATTAATAATTAATTATTAGTCATTATTGGTTAGGCATCGGATGAAAGTGGAAGCTATGGTACGAGAGCGGTAGCCAATACACTGCTCGCTGTGCAGGGCGGGGAGGGAAGGCCGCCGCGGCTGTTCCTGTGGGCTCCTCCCTACCGCAGGGGGTGCTGCGGAGCCCCCTCCACCGCTCGCCCAGCGAGGCGTTCGGCACTCGGCTGAGCTGGCCTGGCCGCTCGCTTCCCTTTGACGTCCGCTTCTGACCTGGCGGCTGCTGGGCGCACAGGCGTGGCACATGCGCACTGGGGGAAGGGGGGGGGGTGTTCCGCGTCGCCCTGCCGCGCATGCGCCCTGCGGGGTAACCGTCCGGGCACGGGAAGAGCCCCCGGAGCTGCTGCCGCGCTTCGGTCCAGGCGCAAGCCCCGCCCCCCGCGCAGGCCCCGCGCCCCGCGCTGC